CTAAATCACTTTATTTCTAAAGCACGTTTTAAATTAAACCTTTTAAATAACATGAAATGTTCTAATGCTGCAAAAATGAACAAAACTAAACCTGAATTTTAAGTTTAAGTTACCTTCATGGTTTAATGCTGTTTGTTTTTATGGCGTTTGTGAAACGATGCGATTGTTTTCCCGTGTTTTTTTGCAGGATACCTGATGTATCTACAAGTACAGAGTCGGTGGCGATTTGGGCATTGATCAGGCTGCCAGCAGCGGTTGACGCCCTGTGAACGAGCAGGACAGTGAGCTGAGCTGAGCCGTATGCGAACGAACGCAAGCTGGCTGCAGTGGTTGAACTCAAAGATGAGATAGGAATATATCTTGGATGTTCACGCTCGCTTCAAGGTGGAAAAGCCCAACGTAGAGCCAGTGCTGGAATAATTATGTATAAGATACTTAATGTTTGTTCTTATGATGTATAATGTGTGACATATTACTGTTCCAGAGAGGTGTTGCACAAGCAGTATAGGTCAACTCTCAGGAAGTTTTGCTCAAGCTTAACGAAAACAGGAGCTTCTCGGACCATTTGACCGCAAGACATTTAAACTCAAATGGACCTGTTCACTGAGGCTGCAAATTGAATTGTATTTCTTGTTTCCCATTTCTTTAGTGCAACCTCAGCTTGTGTAACTAGGGACTCCCCCCGACTTTAATAAATAGCGAGGAGAAAGCTAAAGACTGGCAGAGTGGGTTGGAGATTTGTAAACTCCCCAGTCTCTTTCTGCTCTCCTTGCGAGTAAAATTAAATTGTCTCTGTGCCTTCTTTCTTTCCCTGTATGTATGTATGACGTTTTAGATGCTTAGACCTGACAGCCAGCAAAAAAAAAAAATTGATTTTCATATGTCTGAGTCTTCCAGATTAAACAAACTTCTCCTGCTAGATAACCGCTAAAAGCGTAACAGTTATAAAAGCTTCCTGTTATCATCTTTCAACGTTTGACAGCGTGGGTAAATTTCAGCAGAGACCAGTCCGTCCTACGGAGACCTGGACACGTGAAAGAGCAGGTCTATGGTGGATCACTCACTGTAATGAGGATATCTGGCTTCACGCTGGGGATCTCTGCAGCCATCAGGTGTCTGTCTTCCTGTCGGGAGAAGTCTCCTGTGTACAGCAGCTGGAGGAACAACAAGAGCTCAGGTCTGCTTAGAACATCAACTTTGGTTTTCAGGTTAAATACTCGTAATTCGCTCCCCTCATGTCATTAAACGCACCGGAACTAGGCTAAGTATTTAAGGACAGACCTTGACGCCGGCGATCTCGATCATAAACATGGCGGCCCCCAGGACGTGGCCGGCGTGGTAGCACCAGAACTTGATGCCCGCCACCTCCTTCACCTCGTGGAAGTTGATGGTCTCGATTTTCTCCATGCTGTCCTCCAGGTCCGTCTCAGTGTACAGCATGTCGTCCGC